CCTCTTCCCCTTTCTTGAGCACTGCTCTATCTCCATTATCCTTCTCTCTATCTCCGGATTTCTCGACACAGACTTCGCCCTTCGTGGCTCCGTTACCGCCTTCAAACCACACGACACATTTCACGTTAACACACTTCAAGGACCAAACATTTAACCGACTGTTGTTTCTCTTTTGCCGTCTTGGGGTTTTTTTTACCTGCTTTCTCGGTTGGCTTGGAGAGATCGATCGCTTCAAAAGAGATCCCGAACGTAAGAGAGGAAACCGCATTGGAGAGAGCGATCTTTTGCCTAGCAAAGTTTGCAGGAAACCATATTTTTCCATCAATATCAATGCTCAGAGCTTGAAATCATGCCCTTCAAAATGGTATGGAGTTAAGATTTTCAGACAAAAATTCAGTTTGATTACTACTTGCTGTTCTGTTATTGTTGTTGTTCTTGTGTGGAATAGCTGAGAACGAGAATGTTCCTGTCCTGTTCGTTTGCCTGAACACACGCACGCACATTCCAACAGTAAACCACACAAATGTAATCTAATGCCCCTATAAAGAACGTAAAAAGGACCGAACTCTAGACCGTGTAAAAGGGCTTTACCTTGTCGGATGATCTCTTATCGTCGATCGAACAGCTTTTCCCCAGAAGATTAAAATTCCATCAGATCGTGTTTCTTGGCCAGACATAAAACGAATATACTAACATCTGATCGAAATATCACAGAAGAGTTTGTCTAACGTTTACCACTTGCGAAACGACGGGAGTCATCTCCTGCAGAGAAGCCCCGGCCTCTGTGTCCTGTCCTGCTCTGTTCCATGTCTTCATCTGCAAGAAAGCAAGAAAAAAAAACAAGAAAAACTGTTCACCAGAACTCGGACATGGATTATGCAACGAGGCATCCTCGGACAATGTACAAGATTGAAGGGGTCAGGTACCGGGAAAGAAGTATCGCTTATGATACTGAGGAGATTCGATCACACGTAGTTGCTGATAAGCCCCACTCTGATCGCTATACTCCCTGCACGATTTCATCCTCTACCAAAGAAAAGAAACCCCACAAAGCAAAGTGAAGTGATGTTTCGTTTCGTTTCATTTCATCAGGAGAACGCAAAGGATAACGTACTTGTTCCAGACAACGCAAGCGAAGATCAGTCGTGGAGAACTGGTCTGTGTTGTCGGAGAGGAAGCCGTTGAATTTGTCTGAAACGGAGCCCAGATGATCCACTGTGTTCACCAATGCCTTCACCGCATAATCTTTCAGCGTCTCTATGACTCTGTCTCAGGTTTGAAATTGTTGTTACGAAGAAAATAAAGAGACAGATTGTGATGAAGTAACGGACGAAGAATGAAAACGTTCCCAGTAGGAATTGTGTAATGGATTCGATAAATTTCTGGATTATGCCAATGAATAAATCACTTGATTATATAAATGGGGAAAAAAACAGAGTATTCTCAAAAGGAGGGATGCTTACACTTCTTTGTGATCCTCTTTGTCGTACGAGGTTTCGAAATAATCTGCAGCAGAGTACAACTGTTTCCGCATATTCTTCAAATCCTTTCATCAGACAAAAATGGCGGTACTGAGAATGTCAGAGTGAGTTTTATGATCCGACCACGACTCAATCGAAAAAAAACACAAAGAACAGATTGTAATCGCAAATCGCAGTCACTCCCACACGCAACAGAAGCGATGAATAGGAGGAAGATGGATCAGAATGACGATCCATTTGTGTGTGTATGTGACTGCGTATGCTTGGAGAGACCGAGAGAGAGAGAGAGGGAGAGAGAGGGAGAATCAAACCCGGAGAGTTTCTGAGAAACGAAGAGTTTGCTTCATGAAGAGCTCATCGTGATTCGAAGCTTGGTGAACAACTATGGCTAAAGATGTCGAGCTCATCTCTCATATCCTGAGAGAGAGAGAGAGAGAGAGAGAGAGAGAGAGAGAGAATCACAGTCTTTGCAGAGTTAGGCCGTCTCTTAACTAATCCGATGTTGCTGTCCAGCGAGACAGATTTTTTAATTAAAAACAAAAACAAAAAACAAATGTTCTTTAAAAAAAAAGAATATCTACTGAAAAATTATGGTCGGGTTTCTTTATTCGTTGATTATAGATCCGCTGTTGAATGTTGAATGGTACACAGCAAGTTTTAGAAAAAAAAATGAAATTTGTATAATTGATTGGATTTTTCCAATGTAGAAACCTTTCTTAAAAATGAAAATAGATTGTTACGGAATTGGGAATCCCAAGTTGGGTCCATTAACATACTTTTTTCCACACTAAATAACCTTCGTGCGTATAATGAATGCGGACAAAACAGTAACCTCGAATTATTGCAGTGGCAAAAGCAGCCGACAAATCAATCTCCTTGGTGACTACATTCGCTTTTGGCTTTTATTTTTTTTTCCCCCTTTCGAATAACTAGTTTATTATTGTGAAAGTCTGGCAACAGAGAATACGCATATGTGATTCGTAATCTTTTACTTTCGTTAAAATATAAAAATCGAATAGTAGATTTTACCTCGCAGTAAAAATCGAAGCTTCATAGAGATTTCCATCTCCATGTAGGAGGAACAAGTAGAGAGTCAGAGCGGGGGATTTTAGGTGAAAATAAATGGAGCAGAAAGCAGAGAGGGGAGTGTTTATATTTAACAATAAATGAGGAGAAAGCAACGTCTCAACGATCCCGTCGTCTTCTTTGGACAAACGAACATCAGAAATGCCGACCTTTCGAAAATTTCCACGGAGCCGAAGCCAAAGGCATGTGCATTTCGTGTTTTACGTTAGTACATTTTTCTAAGTTCAACACATGGGACCCACCCTCCCCTCTCGCTCGGACAAATTATACTTCTTGGCTTCTTCAATGCGGAGACGATATCATTGTTGGGAGATAGCCCGTCCCAGATTTCGTGATCCGATTCAATTTTGTCCTAAGAGATTGGTTCATTTGTTTTCTCATATACATCACCGTCATGTGGTCCATGCACACATTACCATCATCATCACCATACAAACAACTAAACCCCTTCGACCAAACCCAAACCGGATTCGTAAGAACTGCTTACACAAGAAAACGGGGAAGAGAAGCTCGATCTCATGGTAAGTGGTCATGTCAAATCCCGTCAACGGGATCTCACACTTTTGCAGGAAATATGCGATATGATATTAAAAGTCATACAAGACATCCAAATTCATAAACCCAGAAAACCCAAATCAAAATGAGAACAGATTTGCAAGAATTCAGGGCACAACGCGGAGAAAATACCAGTGAAAAAGTGGACCTTACACCTACACGATACGCTCCAACTCCCTCGCATAGCTTAGTGTCTGGTTGATGAGTTGCAGAGACGGTATCTCCTTGCACGGTGCACTTTCTTTAGCTTTCTGGAAAACCACAAGCCCCTCTTTCACTTCCCACTCGGGATGCTCCTGTAAGGTCCGATAAAACCCAGATATTACTGCATACTCTACTGAGTATGAGATAGTCATGAAAAGATTCCTAATCAAGGCAGAGTGTTTGTTCTTAAACCTTCTTGACATATGTCATGAGTTCTTGATCAGACGAGAAGAGCAACATCTGTCGGGCATCGCTGACTGAGAGATAATCATACGCTTTCTCGCTGCATCCAGCTATTTCATCTCTACACATTTAACAGAAAATGGGGAGAGAGAAGATACCATCAATGGATTAAGGGAGATGAGGTATTAGGTGATGGGTAGATTGGTGTTTATTTAATTACCTTATGGTCTTTGCCAAGAGATCCATGAAATATACATAAGTTGCATCAGGTGCAGTCTGTCTAGCACTCAACACACGGTTATACGCGCCTTCCATGAATGATTGCTCAAGCTCTACCGCATGCTTGATGCAAGGATTCTCCAGTGCCTCGGATGAAAGCAATTCCAGTTCCGTGTGGAATTCAGCAATTCTGTTCTGAACAAGCAATCTCAGTAGGTTAAGACCCAGGATTAGGTTCTCCTGTGGAGATGGTGGAAGATGGCTCCTGGTACAGATACAAAGAAAACTTTAGAAAAATGCATTCCCACAACAATCACAAGAGCAATAGGTAGAACAGGATAATAATGATCACGATTCACCTTGCATCCACGTAATATGGTTTCAACTGGAAGAAATCTCTCTCAAACGCATCTTGATCCTCAGTCTTTACACTTAGAACAACAGCATGCTCATAAATGTCCCCTGAAAGTTTACAATTGTCAAGCAACACAATCTGATAACCCTCACGAACAGAATGCATATGATTGCCGAACTATCTATCACTCCTTCCATTTGCTGATAAACCATTTCCAGGTCAACCAAGCTTCGTAATGTAACAATACAAGACTTCAGTGATTGAAGTAGACAATAGGCAAAAAATTGAAAAAAAACTCATAACATAAACCTTCTTTAAGGTTTTATATTCTCCAAGAAGTAAAAAAAGCTTCACCTTTATGACTCAGTGGACACAAGAGCCGACAAACCCATGATTTTCTAAGTGATTAATGTCAAACCAATCTCGGGGTTAGAAAGTTACTAGCAAGAATAGATGCCAAACCGATCATGAAAACAGAAACTTACTAGAAATCATCAATTCCTGAGTTGCATTAGGTGAATTCTCAAACAAAGGCGGCAGACTCCTGAATTTGGTCAGAAGAACCTGAAAGATGTAGCAAAACTTGTTCATGTCAGAGCGTCTAATCACGCATTCAAAAAACTTCGGGACCCGGTAATCTAAAGCAATGCTTCTTCATATTCACCACCAACCCTAAACCCTAAACCCTAAACCCTAAACCCTAAACCCCAAACCCCAAACCCCAAACCCCAAACCCCAAACCCCAAACCCCAAACCCTAAACCCTAAACCCTAAACCCTAAACCCTAAACCCTAAACCCTAAACCCCCCAGAACACAATCACCAAAAAAGAAAAAAGAGAAACCCCAAAAGCGTACCCAAAAACAAAGTTCACAGCATTTCTGCTCCGCTAAGACATTTCGAAACACCTCGGTACCCTAAATTCTCACTTCACCTACCTAATCCATCTATTTTCCCACCCTAAAGTTTAAAACAAAAAACAGGACTAATAGGGAAAATTTCCTCCATCAGTTATCCATAAACATTACGAAAACCGAATTCGAATTCGAATTCGAATTTAAGGGACTCAAAGCAACAAAAACCTTGAGCTGAGACAACAGATTACTGCAAGTATCGTAATCTTTCCTCACGAATGCGGCCTTGAACCTCTCGAACTGCTGCGAAATCTCCGTCAGCTGCGGATCCATCTCTCTCTGTCTCTCTCTCCGCACCGGCGATAATTTATTCTGATTTTCTCCGCTAACTGGCTTGGTTGCAAAGAAAGAGGACGAAGAATCTTCCCACGCTTCCGAGGGATGACACGTGTGCACCTCATTTTTACTGATAAAAGCCTGGCCACGAAATTATATGGGCTTGTAATTAAAAAATATATATATGATGGGCCTACGAAAGTCGAATAAGGCCCATTTGTATGTGTTCGGCCCAATCTTCCCACGCTTCCAAGGGATGACACGTGTGCAGCTCCCCAAGCACACCGTCCCGAGGTCACACCCTTCTTGCTAACGCGTCTTCTTCCATCTCCTGCCTTTTTTCAACGAAGCCTTAGCCTCTAAGCCAAGCCTTTTTTAATAATAATAATAATAATTGAAAGAGTCAGGTGTGAACACAGAAGGTGCTAGAAGACCTTCTAGAGAGAATCTTAAACAAAACAAAATGGGTAAACCTCAAAAAAAAAAAAAAAAAAATTCCATTTGTAAAAATATATACAAATAAAATTTAAAATTAAAAAACTGTCATTTAATTTCTAAACTTATAACTTGTTACTGAATAAAATTTCGAATATACAAAATATTACTCTAATAAAGATTTGATCGATTTAACCATAATTTTAAACGATCGAAAATCTATATATCGACGGATTGATGTCAATTGATTTATCATTTTTTAAATTAAAATTGTTATGGTGTATAATTGACATCAATAATCTATCAATATATGAATTTTTTGTTATCTGATGATAATTTTTTTAAGTTAAAAGTTTATTTGTATATATTTTTTGCGATTAAATTTTTTTTTTTAAAAGGATTTTACCCTTAAAAAAGCTAATTATTTCACTTTCTCTCTCCTCTCGAGAATATGCCACGTCATCTCCTCCACTCGTACAAACCGCGTCTCTGCCTGCCGCCATATTGCCCTCCCATTCGTTCACCTGCATTTACAATTTCCTTCCATTTCAGTTTTAACATTTATCAAAATCTTTGCGAAATGATTGTCCTTCCCAATATATCTACTTTTCCAGATTCGTGTTTATAATTTAATTCTCCTTTATTCTCTTCTTATCAATCTACCTTTTATTTACTTTTTGTAATTATCCACTTTGTCAAATCCACACGCAATCTTTGCAACTCTTTCCGGGAAAGTTCTTATTAGCGTATTTAACAATGGCTCCTCTCTCGGAAGCTTGACATCTCTTCGACTCTCTCTCTCTCTCTCTCTCTCTCTCTCTCTCTCATCTTCGACTTATTCAGTACTGAACTCCCCATTCATACACAAACAATATCCACCGATTTCTCAACCTCCCGTCTCACAAAATCGTCCTTTTTCCCAAAGCCCAGATCGCAAAATCGAATTTTTCCGATTGCCCAGATCGCAGAATCGTGTTTTTTCGACCGAAGATGGAGAACAACCAGCAATCTTTCTGGCAGTTCAGCGACCAGCTGAGGTTACATACATCGAACCTGGCGAATCTGTCTCTCAACGACTCAATCTGGAGCACAAACTACGTCTCGAAACATCCCGACCAGCGCAGAAACTTCGACATCACTGTCGGAGGCTCCGCCGAGACGATTCCTCTGGAAAATCCGAAGGCGAAAGCCTCGGGCATCAGTAACGTCTTCAACGACAATAGCTGGAAGACCAACCCCTCCTCCGTCAACGACTTCACTTTCGGCCCTGTCGGCTCGAAACCCCTCCCCGAAGCGAGCCCGATGGAGAAGTTCAAGGGAAAAGTCTCCGGCTACAATAACAATCCCTTCAACGAGGGCTGGAAATTCAATTCTCCGGTCAACAGTTTGATGTTTTCTCCGGCATCCGAACCGAAATCGACCTCTGTGAACGGCGGTTTCAACAAGGGGATTTACCCTTCGCCCAAAAGCTACGGCAGCTACAACGTGAATCTGAAAGGGGGCTACAAGAACAAAGGGTTGGATGAAGAGTACGCGTCCAAGGGGGGGAAAAAGAGCAACAAGAAGAATCAGAACCATAACAAGAACGAAGAAGGTGGGAAAGACGGCAAGAGCAGTGCCGAGAAGAGATTCAAGACTCTGCCTCCGTCAGAAGCTTTGCCCAGAAACGAAACCATTGGTGGATACATATTCGTCTGCAACAATGACACCATGGAGGAGAATCTCAAACGACAGCTGTTCGGTACTGTTCCTTATTCTCTTCTCTGTCTTTCTTTTCCGAATTTGATTCTTTGTACTTCTAGAAAGAGATGATGCGTTTCTATTTTTTTAAGAAAAATAAATAATACCGCTAATCTTCAAGAACTCGATGGAAACCTCGATATTCGGATAATCATGGGTTCTAAGATTATAATTGGAATTATATAATGAATCAGGACTGCCGCCAAGGTACAGGGACTCGGTTAGGGCGATAACGCCGGGACTTCCACTCTTTCTTTACAACTACTCCACTCACCAACTCCACGGAATTTACGAGGTTTTTGTTTTTTATTTTTTTTAATTCCCGTAAAATATATATTTTTTTAAATTACGGTCGGTGTTTAATAATAATAATAATAATGATGATTAAATCAGGCGGCGAGCTTCGGAGGAACAAACATCGATCCGAAAGCGTGGGAAGACAAGAAATGCCCCGGCGAATCTCGATTCCCAGCTCAGGTGCCCATTCATTTTTTTTAAAAAAATAAAAAAAATATTAATATTTGAGTTTCGTTAGTTTTTAATTGGGATTTAAAAATGGAAAAGGTGAGGGCAATAACGAGGAAAGTGTGTGAGCCGCTGGAGGAAGACTCGTTCAGACCTATACTGCACCACTACGACGGTCCCAAATTCCGTCTCGAACTCAGCGTTCCCGAGGTAAACCACTGCGCTTAATCATGATGATGATGGTGATGATGATGATGATGATGATGGTGATGATGATGATGATGATGTATATGTGTTGGGTGTTTATTTGCAGGCCCTTTCGTTGTTGGACATTTTTGCTGAGCAAAGCCCCTGAACCCATGGAGATGGAGAATAAGAGAGAGTCCGCAGACAAAATCTGAAGCAGTGGCTCTCCGTTGCCATACAGAAAACAAATACTAAATATACAGTTTACAAAGAGTATTAATTAAACAAGCGATCTTATGTTTACAAGAGACCCCTTTTTTTTTCCATAACATCGTTTTGTTAGGGTTTTTTTTCGGAGAGATGTGAGGCAGGCCGGTTGTGTAAATTAAATTAAAAAATGTCATACAATCCACAAGAAAACGACATATTCTTTTGTGTTTCTTCATGTCTATTTACAAAATATCTATTTCTCTTCAGAGTTTGATCTATTTCCCTCCGAATTCGAATTTTAAATTCGAAAAAAGGTGTATATTTTATATCATATCGGATTGCAAAAAAAAAAAAACTTGTCATTCATCTCTATGACCTATTCCCATTTATATCGTCTAAATATATGAGTTATATACATATATACATAAAGGAATTATGATATTGCGGGGTTTACTATGAGATTAGAGAATTAGATTAATGTAGTCAAATTCCAAGGATGGAATTAAATAACAAACATTATTATGGTTCTGACCAAGTTTTGATCTATTGCCCTCTTCTTACCAAACACCTACTCTCAAAGAAATATGTTAAAATATAATAACTCAAGGGTTACGTGTATAAAAAGTCAAGAGGAGAAGGCTTGACCGAGTGCGTTCGTTGGTCCACTTTGAAATGTTCAATAGATTATCTTTTCTAATTACCAATAAATGCTGAACAATACAATACACATCGTATTTCTACTTTTTTCTTATTTTAAATAAAAGGTAGCTTTGACTTTTGAGGAGTTTAAGAGCATTGACTTCAAACTCCTAACTATCGGAAAAAGAATTAGAAATTCATATGGTGGGCCAATTTTTTTTCCTCATTTGTCTGTGTCGCGCCAATTTATTGGGCCGAGTTCATACTTGGTTATATATACTCACTATATGGGTCCATAGCTCAGTGGTAGAGCATTTGACTGCAGATCAAGAGGTCATCGGTTCGAACCCGGTTGGGCCCTTTTTATATTTTCGGCTTTACTCATTTTTTGCCCTTTTCCAGATCCATTTCCTTTCTATTTTTAATTAAAGAAAAACGTCACACTGATCTAATCTCGATTGTCCCTGAGATATAGGAAACGGCTGCTGCATACACAAGTATCACACACACAAGAAAAGGTATACAAACTATAACCAATACCATAACATTACCAATTATGATTCTCTTAGAATCCAACTTATTTTAAGAAGTGAAGCAAAGGGGACAACGTACCAAGCCGTTCTCATTGCAAGAGGCACACCTCTCCCATCCTGACCCATCCGCCGACGGGAGCTTCGAGCTTCCGCCGCAGTGGAGACATGGCAGCCACCTGGAGGGTGTGGAGGAGAATGAAGTAGCAAGAGAGAGAAAGCTTTTGGAGGTGGAGTATCATCTCGACTACGCAAGAACAGGAGCCAATCAAGCCTCTTCGCCTACTCTGTCGACACGTGCCCACCTCATCACCCTCCCCAGCTTCCCCCTCTCGTTCATCTCCACCACCCCCTCCGCTCCCCCCACGTATCTCCCCTTCACGAACACCCTCGGCGGCGCCACCTATTTTTCAATTATCCATTTTTTTTAAAATCGGAATATTGGGTTGATTTATTTATATATATAAAAAAAAGAGGTATTAGAAATTCGATCGCACCTCCTCCGGCGTGGCTCCCTCGCCGAGAAGTTCCCTGAGCTCGGTACGGACTCCGGCATCCAAAGCCACGTCCCTCTCGTCGAACACTATCCCTTGCTGTTCCATTATCTCCCTCACCCTCATGCAGTCCTCGTACGTCTTCCTCACCCCTCGAAGCGACGTCGTATATATCACCACCCCGTTCCCCCCTCCCGGCGGACATTTCTCCGGGAACTCACTCAGTGGGTCCCAGTTCACCACCGGTCCCTTCTTCCCTTCCTTCTCCCTCTGCTCTCTGTCCATCACCAAGAATATGTTCTCCTTCAGCGGTTTGAACGCCTTCCCAGATTCCGGCGGTAGCCCGTTCCGTGACTCGGCTCCACTCGCCGACTCGGTTTTCCTCAGCTTTTGCACCGGTTTTGGGTTATCCCTTTTCGTCTTTGCCTCCAGCTCCTCCACCGTGTGGACCGATAAGCTCCTCTGCGGCGGGGGATGAGTTGCTTGCTCCGCCGGCTTCTCCGCCGCAGTCGAAGACGGCGGTTCTGTTTCCCCAGAGACGGCGGCGGGAGATTTGAGGTGGGTTTCGAGGGCTTTGCTGACTTCGTCCCATGATCGAGGAGGAGCTTCGGTGACGGTATCGAGCTTCTCGAGGACGGCGGTGGGGACCGCGGCGGCGCTTGGGTTTCGGGTCTGTTTCTCATCGTCGTTCTGCGGCGGCGCCAGGAGCTGTTCGAGTTTCAGCCATGGCTCCTCGATGGCGTTGATGTCAAAGACGGCGAAGCTAGACGGCGGGGGCCGGGAGACGTCGGCGGCTCCGGCCCCCACCGTGTGGACCGATAAGCTCCTCGGCGGCGGGGGATGAGTTGCTTGCTCCGCCGGCTTCTCCGCCGCAGTCGAAGACGGCGGTTCTGTTTCCCCAGAGACGGCGGCGGGAGATTTGAGGTGGGTTTCGAGGGCTTTGCTGACTTCGTCCCATGATCGAGGAGGAGCTTCGGTGACGGTATCGAGCTTCTCGAGGACGGCGGTGGGGACCGCGGCGGCGCTTGGGTTTCGGGTCTGTTTCTCATCGTCGTTCTGCGGCGGCGCCAGGAGCTGTTCGAGTTTCAGCCATGGCTCCTCGATGGCGTTGATGTCAAAGACGGCGAAGCTAGACGGCGGTGGCCGGTAGACGTCGGCGACTCCGGCCTTCATCTGCTTCGACGACGCACAACCCATTCTTTTTTCTTCTTTGTTGTTTGTTTTATGGCTCTTGTACGTTTGTTTGGGACTATATGAAGAGACACTGAATTATGGAGGGAAATGTGTGTGGTCTTCGAGGTGGGCTTCCCTTATCCGATCTTTAATACAAGTTTGTATTCTTCCTATAACAATTTTATCTGTATTTATATTTGTTTTACTGAAATCTGTTTAATTTGGCATTTGAATACTCGTACCAATTCGATTTGCCTTTCAAAGTTCAATATAGAAAAGGAATATAAACATGCACAAGAGCTTTAATCAACATGAGAAATAAGGCCGAATATCCCAAAGTTGCGGATACAACTCAATTTTCAAAGTTCCGAAAGATTTAGATTAAAACCTAAACCAGTAAATATAAATATAACGACCCACGAAGAAGATTATATTTTCACGCGGTGTCAAAATCAACGCATTAAAAAAATGTTCGCCAAATGTGTGGATGTGGTCGCCCTAATAATAGATGCGACAATTACGGTTTTTCTTTAAATCGGCAACCGCGGAGTGATTCTGTGGTCCGAGAAGTGGCAACGTGAGGCCACGAGATCCTTGAGAAATAATTCCCCAGAAACATCGCATTTCTGGATGCACATGTCACTGTCCGTACCTCCGAGTTTTGTTCTGTATACAATCTAATTATATACACATTCATCCATCTTCTCCCAATCATTTCGGTTATTAACCGAATAATTGAACTGAACCGAATCGAATAAGATATAACCTTTACTCGAATCAAACTCGACATCAAAACAGAACGGTTACGATTTTTTTGAATCTGAAAAAATCGTTCAAAAAAATCGAAACTGAACCGAACCGAATAAAAAAATAATCGAAAAAAACCGATAATTTTTTTGAAAAAATAAATTTTTTTACCAAAACCGAAGCGAACCTGAATCGAAAAACAATCGAACCGAAGCGAACCAAAATTTATATAAAAACTAAATAGTTATAGTTTTTCTATAATCGAAATAATCAAACCCGAATATAACCGAACCGAATTGAAACCCGAATTGGTAAGCCTTAGTTCTCACCATTAGTTTTAAAAATACGAAACCACGAATCCCGAAGATTAGGGTTTTCGGAGCCCAAATGGAGGCCCAGAACACGTATTTATATTTGTGTTTGAAGTAAACAATTTACCAAAATACCACTGGCGTGGAGATCCCGAATAGAATAGATGTATCCGAGTTTCTTGGGACGCAAGGGGCATAAATATGATAGAGTGGTACAAAACACATACCACATAATTCAAATTTCTTGACTCTTCCCCTTGCAACAGTTAATTACTTGGCGAATTTCCTAGGACTTGGCTTCTTCTTGCTGCAAACCGAATAACAGGAGATTCAGAAATCGTACGGATTTATCAAACCACTAAAGATCCGTAAAAGCCATTACATTCTTGATTCTTCCCCAACCAATTCTGGCAAGGAATGGCCGAGAATATCACGAAAACGGACAGAGATGGCAATGATGCTCAATGAAACCGGATTGTGTTTGGATTTTGCATTCAGCAATGTGGGGAATGGTCAGTTTCTTGGTTTGTTTTGTTACCTTACTTGTGAGTCGTCTTCTTGGAGGGTTCTTGAGGGAGTTTTACTTTGTTGTCCCCTCCCGAAGGCAACCTCGTCCATGCTCTGACCCGTTCGTTGGTATCTACCGCCGGCGGCCAGAAAAGCAGGGCAGGGCCTGTATGCTTTTATAGGCCACCAGCCAAAACCCGGCACAGTGGCTATCCCACCTTGTATTCTGCCATCTCCGTTGCATCCGCTCTCTATTTTCTCATTCCCACATGCCTTGCAGCCGCTGTATGGACACCAAAACCGATCCAAATTATCCCCCAAAATCACAGCATGATAATATTCTTAGATTTTATTCGTATCCCTTGATAATCTTGAAGAATATTCATGATAGCATGAATCATGTTACGTACACATTACAGAAAGAACTTATTGATTCCGACATGAGTACCATTTCGAACGTTGATTTCTCTCTACGGCATAACATCATCACCACTATAAGTAGAAACTTATCCAGTAACTTGTCCCCAAAAGAGGAAAATTTTCTATGATTCGCAGCAATTCATGGTGCCCGAGATGAATCCTATAGGGTAGACCCTTGATATAGTTCGCAGGAAAATGCCTACATTTTCAATGGATTCGATCAAAATCGTCAAACGGGGACGATGAAAAAGAATCTTGGATTCTCTATAACTCACCGGAGGAAGCATATAATTTCGACGGTATCTATCAAATTGGCCAAAAAATGTACCTGAAACGAAACCTAGCATACTTTCCAGGAAAAACTCTAAAATTTCCGACGTATTCTATCAAATTGGCCAAAAGGGACCTGAAATAATTTACCGGGGAAATCCTAAACTATCGAAAAAGGTACCTGAAAGTAAGATCTTCATCGGCGGGGGGGTCGTCTTCTACGACAGAAGAAGATGAAGGAGAGTAGGAACAGAAAGAGAGGGAAGAATGCTTGGACGGGGTTCTGATGGAAGAGGTTGACGACGGATGATGAATCCATGTGCTTGAATTTTGATTACCGGAGAAGAAGAGACACCGTGGATGAGAGATTGAGAAGACGGGATTCGCCATCCTCAACCTCTGAGTAGGCTGAGAGTGAAGGCAGGGGCGGAGTTTGGAGGTGGAGAAAAAGATAACGGGACAGCCACAAATCCATTTTGACCATTTAGAAAATTGTTTTATTTATTTATTTAATCAAAATCAGCAAATAGGCAGTCACCCGTCATCGTTACGTATTCCGATATTTTTCTGAAATGATTTATTATTCGTCTCTTGATAGCTATGGGCCTATCAATTTGGGTCGGAGCCCATTAGATCAATTGTTATAGTCTGTTGCTGTGGTCTTTCTAAATGGGCCTTAGAGACCATTATATATGGGCTTACAGCCCATTATATGGGTATCAATTTATGAGCTCAGCCCAATAAGGGTAATTCTTTTTTTTTTATCCCTGCAAGATATTGCGACTTTACGAGGGTATTTTTGTCATTCTGAAGTTGGCCATCGAAAAAATCTGCAAGTTGGGACCCAACATATGATGCAAAATAACACCACTCCAGTTCCCGCCATTTCCAATTTTGTGTTTATGGGTAATTTTCAGTGTCAGGGAAAAAGAACAAAATCTCACTGAGAATGGTCTTTTCACATCCGAACACGTGACTTTTGGTCATCTACAAAAATTCGCTGAAGATCAATATTTAAGAAATGTATATATAACTAAGAAAGGGCCAAAAATAAATAACCTTCAAAGATTTGATATTATCAATATACACATATATATATATATATGTATGTATGTATGTATGTCGTATATCCCTCTTTATGTACGTGACACCGTGACAGCCTCTATTATTTACCGACGCTCCATGTGCCCACCGTATTTTAATTGTCCTAATGAATACGAAAAGATAAAAGATAAAAAGCCCCCACCAAAAAAATAAAGGTCTCTTTAACAAAAAAAAAAAAATAAAGGTCTCGCTCACTGTCACACTGTATAAAATTATAATTCCACGTTTTTCACCCTCTCTCTCCTCTCAGTCCTCACTACTCCAGTGTCCAAACACTCCTCCTTCCGCAATCTCTTCAGCAATGGTGAAGCATAACGGCCGTCGCCCTCCGCCGTCAGGCCGTACGAATCTGGCGTCATGCCTTGTCGCCGCCATCTTCTTGGTCTTCATTCTCATCGTCGTCCTCGTCGTCTATTTCACCGTCTTCAAACCCAAAGACCCCAAGATCTCCGTTAACTCCGTCCAGCTTCCGTCATTCGCCGTCTCCAACAACACCGCCAACTTCACCTTCTCGCAGTACGTCTCCGTCAGAAACCCTAACCGCGCCGTTTTCTCTCACTACGACAGCTCCATCCAGCTCCTCTACTCTGGTCGTCAAGTCGGGTTCATGTTCATACCCGCCGGAAAAATCGACTCTGGTCGGACCCAGTACATGGCCGCCACCTTCACCGTCAATTCCTTCTCTCTCTCCCCTCCCTCCATCACCGTTCCCGGCATATCTGCCGTCTCCGCCGCAGCAGACATTCCGGGTCCTACGAGAAACCCGGGCGTCCCGGATTCACCGGCTTTTCAAATTCCAGGTTTTCCTCAAAACCCGAGACCTCCGAAAAATCCGGATCCTCCGGGTTTCCGAGGCAATCCAGGTGTGCCCGGTTTTCAAGGGAATCCGGGCTATCCGGGTCCGGGATTTCAGGGGAATCCGGGTTATCCAGGGATTTCGGGTCCGCCGGGGTTTCCGGGTATGCCCGGCTCCCCGCCGGTGGGGAATTCTGGGTTGTATCCGGGTATGGGAGACGGGTACGGGTTTCCGGGTGTCGGGTACGGAAACAGGGTCGGGCCGACGATGGAGATAGAGTCAAAAATGGAGCTAGCGGGTTTGGTCAAGGTGTTGCATGTCTTCACACACCACGTGGTGGCGAAATCGGGTTGTCGGGTGACCGTGTCTGTGGCCGATGGATCCGTTTTGGCCTTCCATTGCTGATTCCACTAATATTATTATTCTCTTTTTTATTTTCACTTTTAATCCTCGATTTCCATCCTTTTTTTTTTCTCCCTAGAACTGTAGTTTTTTTGTTGTATGTCTGGAAATTATTTCAGAAAATTGTAAAAATGAATTGTTTATATGTAATTGATTAGCTCAGAGTAAATTAGAGTTCTCTTATATTTTCGTCAAAACCATGTATAATTGCATATTAATATATATGTATAAATAATAAAGAAATGAATGCATTGACACAACGAATATAAAAAATCAATATATATTTGGTATAAAAAATCTCAAATGTTTGGGCTTTTGGTACAAGCAGCTCACGATTCATTTCGAAACATAATGGGCCAGTTATAAGTCCAGTGGGCCCATTAGATTGACCATATATAATATATTATTGATTATTCCCAAAACAATTTAAACAAGGGAAAAATTGGGTCTATATTTCAACGACCGTTGTCTATTTGTGTAACGACAAGGAACTTGGAAATATATATATATTTTTTTTATACATAACTTGGAAATATTTAGATTTGGTTATATGGACCAAACCAAATTTGAAGGATGAATGGCTGCGGAGTCCAAATAGTTAAAATGGTTAACAGAAAAATTTAAATAAAAAGTAAAAATATTTCAACATCACTATCTCTGATGAGTCAATAATGCATGTTAGTGATTCAAATTTCAACAAAAAAAAAAAGGATTTTGTGAAAGTCGTACCTAAAATCTGGTCCATGTCTCCCAAAACTTCACTGATTCCCGCCGGTACATGAAAATAATAATAAAAAATCGAGGAAATGTTTTAAAATAATCTCTTAAATTACATTTTAAAAAATTGCCATTTAATATGATTTTAATAATCAACTCGATGCGGAAAAAAACATTCATTGGGGGGAATATATATGAGTTCACACTTGGTCCGATCACGTGGTAGACGTAATCGCATGCAATTAAAACGAAAGTCTTCGCGTCTGAATGAACTTTTTCTATTAAAAAAATGTTAAATATTTTTTTTGCATATTATTATTAACTTAAAAACAAGAGATTATAAGTTAAAAAACAGATCAATATATTGAATCAGAGCGTCTCAAATATTTTTAAACCCTGCCCAAGATATAAATTTATTTTTATAATAAAAATATTAAACTTGAAATTATAAATGTTTAAATGTAATTTACTGTGAAAGATATTAAAATATTAATCTAAACAATTATAATTTAAAAATAGAAAAATAAAACAATTGTGTTCTCTAAAACAAATAAATGATTTGTAATTTTATGTATAATTGTGATTATCTGGAAACTTTTGTAATTGTAAATGTCTATCTTTTGTAGTTTTCATCGTATATTAGTTACCCATTCAAAAACTAATTTATTTTTCAGTTTTCTAGATAATTTTTATTTTTATAAAAAAGATCCATAAATTTCGGAGTCTAGCGCAGGAAAATATACGTATATAACAAGAACTACGTGCAATGGCAAGGTTTATATATCTATGAAACAACAATGGTTAATTGTCAATCGTCTTTAATAACAGAATCACGATTCATTAGAAACACTATTTTTATTTTCTACTTCGAAAAGGCAGACTTTACCACAATAATTATGTACCGTAGTATTTTATTATTATTATATATATGTACGTATAAAAAGAATATTATTTGGTAAATTGAAAAGAAAAAAAAAAAGAGGTTGTTCCACAGTGCCCGCGACTGTGTCGTGTAATGGGGTCCGGTCCGACGGTGAAGTCGACGTCAAACCTAAACGTTTGTCCTCTTGTTTCATGCATTTTTAGCCTTTCATAAATCGCAAGTGTCTCTCGTCGTGTATATTTGTATTTTGTGATCCACACACATTATATTAGCCGTGTTAATTATTTATTTTTATCACGTCGGTGATAAGCTGTGCATAAATAAATACGCATTTTCATGAAATAATCATACACATGTACGCGTCTGTTATATCTATTTTATGGATCAATGATTGGTCTCGATAATTATAAAAAAAAATTGTTATATTTTACGTTTAAATGTCTCATATCACTGGGAATAACAGTTGGTGGGATGGGAAAATTCAAAGGTTTTTAGGGCAAAACAGTCAAAGGTTTTTGATAAAGTGTCACCCCCCCTCCCATCCATCCTTTATATACGCACGATGGTTTCACACACTCCCATATGCAAAATCACTCGTTTTCTCAAAAAAAGGGCAAAATACAGAAAATACCCACTTGAGAACCTCGACTGTTAGTCATTTTTTTTGTCCTCCCGCTTGTTTCTTCAACATTTTTTTGGGGATAATTTGTATTTTTTTTTTCTTGAAATTTGTGATTTTTGTTTGTGTGTGTGTGGGATTAATTAATGGGAAATTGCATGGAGAGATGGAAGGAAGGAGGAGGGGAAAGAAGAGAAAGGGAGAGAGGGCCATTTAAAGTTGATGGTGGTGGTGGTGGGATGAAGGTAAAGATAGTTCTTACAAGACATGAGCTGGAGATGTTTTTGCTTCAGTACGATGGTAAGCTGATGATGTCCAATGACGTCATCGGAGAGCTTGAGAAGAAGATCAAACCATCATCATCAATGCGGCCATCATCCATGCCATGGAAACCTTCGCTAGATAGCATTGTAGAATGTCCTGAAATCCAAGAGATGGATAGATAATAACATGACTGTGATCTTATCAGTCAACCTAACCCTTTTAGCTTTTTTTTTTCTATCCCTTTTTCTTTTTGTTAAAGGCCATTGGGAGAGCTAATTCTACTTGTCTGCCTCACGAAAGCTTCCATAATTAATTTTCAGTCTAAATTAATTTTTTTTAGAATATTGTCTGCCTCACGAAAGCTTCCATAATTTAGGGACTGACTGTCCTCTATGATGATACATGGCATCATAAAGCCTTTAATTTATAATTCTGAGATTGATCTTAGAATTTTGGAGACAAAGACCACATAAATAATTAAATATAGACGAAGATAGTGGCGGACCTAGAGGAATATATGATGGGGGGTAAATTTAATATTAGTTTATTACAAATTTAATTTTACTAAGGGGGTATATAACAAATTAATTTAATTTTATGAAGAAACTTAATATTGTACAGACACATGAGTGTGTGTATATATATATATATGTATTTGATGTGGCATATGAATTCAAAGATGGTTTTTTAATAGTCTAACAACCCACAAGATTAGAAGCGACCCCCCCAACTCCATGGCCATTTACAATGAAGTTTCTATAGCACATGATATATGCATAAAGACATGAAAATTCTCAATTGGGCTGATCCATCAAATATTTCATGAATTTCGATCAAATGCTTGCTTTTTTTTTTTTTTTATAACAAATGAACCATGTCGGCCCAAGGTTATTTTAGTAAATTACTAAAATTCTTTCTCGCGTGACACGTCATCAGTGTAGAGAATGCTCGCTTCGCTTGTAACGTGAGAGGTTCCGGGTTCGACTCCCTTTTTATAACTTTCTTATAATACGTAAAAAAATGTTTGCTGCCCAGCCCAGAGTCATTTTTGCCCTAACCCTAATGTCCTCCTCTTTCTTCGCCTCCTCACTCCTATCTCCTCCGTCGGCTGAAAAACATTTCCTCTGAGTTCCGTTTATCTTCGATTTCCGACATGTTCTCCGTCGCTTTTCTTCATTTTCCCGTCGTCTTTGTCTAGTTCCATTTATTTCTACTTGAATCTCCGTCGATTTCCTTCGCTTTCGTCTCGAATCATCGTTGTTTCCCTTCGTTTAAAAGCCGGATCGATTCATTGATTTTTCTCTCAGGTCCATTGCCGTCGTCTCCGTCTTCGTTGAGCTGATACGAAGATGCTGACGGGTGATATACCGCCAAATCAGACAATCTACATCAAAAACCTCAATGAGAAGATCAATAAAGAGGGTACCCATTTTTTTTCTTGCACTCTCCTTTCTCGCTGCATAAATTTCGGAACGTTGGAACGACTATAAAGCCCCAGATTTCTCGTACTGTTTCATATTTTTTTATTTCCTGTGAATTTTGATTTTTTTTCTGAGCTTAATCCTGCTGCTTCAATGCCTGGGCAAGTTACTCTTGATTCATCGTATGCATTGCTAGGATTTGACGTTGCTCGACTACTTATGTGCTCGCATAAGTAGTCGAGTAGAAAAAGTGATTCTGAAGTTGCTACTCGGTGGAGGTCCAATCCATTATCCACCTCTGGTTAATTGTTTGGACAGAGAGTGGTGCTAAGGATCTTATCCTTACTGGGCAGATAGTTTTGTTCCTCGAGATCTTTATGATGTTTTGGAATATGTAGTTTCCATTTCCGAGTGTGTTCTTGGTCTGTATCTCCAGTGTGTTCAATTTCAAGACACTGTAGATATTGAGGGCAGAATTTTATGATATACTTGGTAGTGACTACTATTGGAGTCTCTATCTTTGCAGTTTCTTGAACACAAGCTAGAGTGCTAAGCCAAAGATCATTGCAATTCACAATTGCCCTTGTTTTTCTCTACCATAATATCAGTAGTTATCTGCATTGGTATTGCTTTATTCATTGTCGGTGGCGGCTCATGCCATTGAGTATCTCGTAAGAATGCTAATCTGACTAGGATGAAGGGTTTCAAGATTCTGCCTATTTGTTTTTGGATGCACCTTATAAATAAATTAATCGGTTTTTGTTTGATATTTTTCCTTTTGTTTTCCAGAATTCAAGAGATCTCTTTACTGTTTATTCTCTCAGTTTGGGAGGATAATTGACGTGGTCGCGTTGAAAACTCCAAAGCTCCGGGGACAAGCATGGGTTGTATTTACTGAAGTCACAGCTGCCAGTAATGCTGTTCGGCAGATGCAAAACTTTCCATTCTATGATAAGCCAATGGTCAGTTTCTATAATATTTTTTGTTCCGTTGTCCGTATATTAACTTTCTCGTGCATATAGGAGAACTTAAGCATGGAAAATTGCATGTAACTCCTCAATTTTGAAGGCCCGGGATCTGTAATTGTTGATCTGGGTGTTGTATGGATTAGAGAACTAAAGCTGGCTCCTTCGGGTGTATGTGAATATGCGAGTCTTTCTTACATGATAAACAATGTCTCTCTTGCTGTTTTCAATCGTAGTCCGAGTATAACTTGTCTTGGCGCGTGTGACCTTTTGGGTGCAGAGGATACAATACGCTAAAACTAAATCAGATTCCGTTGCTAAAGCCGAGGGTACTTTTGTTCCAAGAGACAAGAAGAAGAAGCAAGAAGAGAAAGGTTAAATTTAGCTTCTCATAAAACCTTTTCTTTTCTAAAAAAAAATTCTTGCTGTGTTGGTTCAAATCATTTGATGTGGCGTTCACAAAACTACAACTTACTTTCAGCTGACAAGAAGCGACGTGCTGAAGAAACTCAACAATCAAGCATGCCTAACGGTGCAAATTCTCAGAATGGAGGCCGCACAGTGAGTTTTTTTCCCTGCCATGGACATATGCTACAAGATTTAACAGTACTCAGATGATATATCTTGGCTCGTTTGCATTTGCAGCCTTCGTTCCAGCCGAATGGGCAAGAATCGGCTGCACCAAACAACATACTCTTCGTTCAGAATCTTCCGGCCGAGACGACAAGTATGATGCTTCAGCTGCTCTTCAAACAGTACCCGGGATTCAAGGAGATAAGAATGATCGAAGCGAAACCGGGGATTGCGTTTGTGGAGTATGAGGACGATGTTCAGTCGTCCATGGCCATGCAAGCTCTTCAGGGTTTCAAGATCACTCCCCAGAACCCAATGGTCATCTCTTTCGCCAAGAAGTGAGACCAAACCAGGGTTTCGTCCATGGCCTGCTGGTTGTAGTGATTATGGATTAAGCAGCTTGTGTATTAACTCTGCCCTGTTTGGTTTGCGTAGCGATTAAGCTGTTATATTTTCAAACAGACAAACTAGAGAACTGATCAGAAGTCTTATCTGTTTGAACCAGGCTGAATCAGAAAAAACCGATCCATTCCATTTGGTTAACGGTTTGACTGGTAGGAACCCAAACGGTCGGTACACTAGATTGGCCCTTTCAGGTGTTTCCAATCCAAACCACCGGTTTTTGTACGAAGGCTGGTTTAATTTCAGTGAAACTGATTGGTTTGGTTCGGTTAGTGAAGCTTTGAGTAGAAGAATCGGTACACCAGAACCGGATGACCTGAGGAGGCTTTTAACGTTAAAAAAACATTTGATCCATCAGTTGATTTTAAGTTAATTATTTTTACCTTGATAGGTAATATGATAAAAACATGATTTCAATTTGCGTAAAAAAAAAATAACTGATGGTGAAAGAACAGACCATTATCATCATCATTATTGTTATAGGCTGTTAGTAAAATTTGTTGATTATGATTATAATTATTTAATTATTTTTCCGGTATAAGATGGTACCTATAACCATGATGGAAAAAAAAAGAAGAATAAGAAAAAAGCCCAGCTCCTTTCTTATAATGCATCATTTTAATTGCATTTAAAATGACCGTCGGATCCATTGGCTTTCTAATCAACGGCTGCAGATCAGATTCATCAACGCAACGCAACGCAACGCAACGCACACATACAAGCGACCGTTGCTCTCTTCCCTCTTCTTCACAGCCTCTCGTTTCTCATCTCCGGCGATCGACGGAGATAACGGCCGATGTTCCGCCGTATTCTTCTCCGGTGATTTCTTCTTCTTGAAACTCCGGCAAAAATGAGCTTTCGTGTAGTCTCGGCGGCGTTCTCCGGCTTCTCTCCTCTCCTAAAGCTCCACGAAACTCACTCACCCCTTCGCACAAGCCTCTGCGATCGAGTTCCCTCCCTTGGTATCCGGAGAAAGACTTTACACTCTTCCCCTGACGTCCGTTGCCGTGACGGTGTCTCCGCCGCCGATGTTTCGGAGACCTCGCCGTCGTCGTCTCTCCTTGACGATGAGCTTCTAAGCGGCGTCTCCGCCGCCAGAGACGCCGCTGAGGCACTTGATATAATTACCGGTCGATCCGGGTCCAAAGGCGGAGTCGGGATCGAAGATTGCCGGTCGATCATTTCCGCCGCTGTCAGTCGAGGCAATGTCGAGCTTGCTCTGTCGATTTTCTACGCTATGCGTACCAGCTTCGAGCGAGGTAGATTCTCAACCCATTATTTTAGTTCACCCGCAAGAATTGCAGTGATCGGTTGATTGATTGAATAATTAAGGAGTGTTTTGCTAAGCATTGATCGTGGTTTCGCAGGTGCGAGTGAGAATGGAGTTCAAGTTGATCGATGGAGATGGTCAAGGCCAGATGTTGGTATCTATACTACGTTGGTGATTGGTCTTGCTGCTTCCTTGAGGGTACCTGATGCTCTAAGCATCGTAGCAGATATTTGCCGTTTTGGAATCTCCCCTGTTGAAGAGGTAATCAAGAAATTTGGAACCATTTCTTGATCCAACTATCAACCACCAATTTTTTTAGCAAAACCCCATTTCCCGATCTAGCAGAACCCTCACTGCCACGGGTTTGGTCTCACCTTACTCGGTATATTCTGTTTGGCGAGTCTGTTTAGACAGGAGGATGGCCACCACCACAGAACGGGCCTTGTGTTTATGTGTATGATCGTTCTATTTACAAACTAATTAGCATTTCAAGCAAAATATGTTCATCCTATGTAACAGTTCCCTTACTACCTTGGAATTGGTCTTGGTTTAGTTGGAAATGTTTGCTTCTGTGACCCTGCTTGTGCTTATGCCTGTGATATGATATTGAATTGATTGCTATTGTTATAGGTTCCGTTTGGAAATGTTGTGAGATGTCCCAGCTGTATGATAGCAGTTGCTGTTGCACAGCCACAGCATGGAGTTCAGGTATGGCAGTTTAATTGCCATCTCTTTTCATAGTTGTTCAAATGATCTGAATGTCTTGCTGAGAAAATTTGTGGCATGTTTCCTTTCGTCTATAGATTGTCTCTTGTGCCAAGTGCCGTTACCAATATGAGCTTGTCTCTGGTGACATAACCAGCATAGAATCAGAAGAGCTGAGGTTAATTCTCTACAATATATTTCGTTTATCTTCGATCTTATGTCTGTTCTTGGTGATCTAGCAGTAGAAAACATAAAAACAAAAAATTGATGCGGTTTATGTTGGTTCACAGAGTAGTCAGCATTGGCTAACACTTGTTTATGCGCTGCCATGACAAAATTTGTAGCAATTTGAGCTTAAGCCGGTTCTAAAACTGATGCAAAGTGTTTAGGGAAGATTCCAATACATTTAACATCTGGTAGTATCTGACAGCTAGATTCTGATGAAATTATAATCACTTAACCAGAGTTACGCTTTAGTGAAGTCACGTCGTTCACTAACACAGGTAACTTATGTCGGGCGATTGTAACAGATCCGGACTTTAGGTAGCTTAATCTGAATTGACTCAAAGTTGTGGCATTATCTGTATAACCATTGCAGATCGATATTGGTAATTTGCTCTGACGCAACTAGCTGGCATGAAAATTGGTATGGGTTCTTCACAGCTGATGCAAATATGCCTAAAATCACATCAAATTCTCAAGCCAAAGCATTAGCATTAATTGACAGAATATTATCAACTTTTCATTTGGTTATTGTGGTCCAAGAAGATTGAGTCGTGTATGGTGTTGATGGTGGGATATTCACTTTTTCTAAGGAGCTCCATCTGACAAACGCAGCAAAGACATTCCTCTTTGGGAAAGGGGGCTCAGATTAATCCAGCTAAAGAAGGAAAAAGTTCCCTCTTCTGTGCACTCTATTGTGGTAAACCTACTGCGAATACATGCACAATTTTTGTTATCTTGTTTTTATGGGGATTGGTTTGTTTATAAAAGAAATATATTGGATGGCAAGCACCAAAACATGAAAAACTTTTATGTCCTTGATCAACCACAGTAGATAGTCAAGAAACAAGCTTAAAGATTCCTATGCAGTTTATGTTCTATACCTGGAAAAGTTTTTGTTTTCTTATATTTTCTGTAGCCATGATCGGTCTCTTGTGTGATGCTTTCCTGTTTTTAGGTACAGACACCCTCTGGTATGGCACGTACACACCGGTTTGCTACAGAGACTGCTGAGCGCGCTGCTCAAGAAGGAGAAAGAGTGACAATTGTATCTGCAGCTCCACCAAATGTTTACAGGGAGGTTGGACCTTTCAAATTTAGCCCCAAAGCTCCAAATATTTACCCTGGAGAACCCATGAGCCTCACCAACCACAAGGATGGACGAGAAACTCTGTTACTAAGACCTCCTAGTAAAGACGGAGATAAATCCTTACAGCCCTCATTGATAATTACCGTCTTTGCTGTTTTAGCAACCGGAGATGCTGCTTCTAGTATTATTGATCCCAATTTGCCTCAGCTCCTCTCAGTTGCTGCTATTGCATCGCTGGCCGTTGGAGCAACAATAAACTCTTTGATTCTTCCTCAGTTCAATCAGGTTCCTACTGTCTAATTGCCCCACTGGTGCTAAAGAGAACACATGTTAGTGGGCAAATGCCTGCCTTCCAGTATGAATGCACGTCCCCAGTAAATGCATTAAAAATAAAATCTGTTCTTAATAATATACTCTTGCGGTCACTGATCCTCATATGTTTGTCTGAGTGCCTATGGATGAAAAAAGTGTAGTCCTCATACATCTATAACTTTCTCACTGGAATGCCTCTCTTAACGCTGAGTCTTATTCATAAACCTTATTATCTATTAATTGTTACAGCTCCCTGAACGGTCAGTGGATGTGATCGGTATCAAGCAGAAACTTTTGTCCCAGTATGATGTGCTTCAGTGTCGTATTAGAGATCTTAAGGAAGCAGCTGAGAAAGAGGTATTTAAGTCCTGGGAAAGACTGACCTCAGTGATATTTACTATTTGGATGAATTTCTTGGTGTGTTAAATGTAGTTTGACAGTGCAGCTAAAATAATTGTAACTTGTGTTTCTGAACATTGTAGATCGTAGTAGAATCACTGAATGTTACTCAATCGGTGTTTTGGATTTTAATTTAGGTATGGATGTTGGCTCGAATGTGCCAGTTGGAGAACAAAATTTTGGCTGTGGGAGAGCCAGCTTACCGGTAAGATCCTCAGACCACTGAAACTGCATAATTCTGTCTCAGTGACAGAGAGATTAGGAGTCATTGCTCCTGTCTTAATCTGAATCAGTACCCGAAGAGCGAGAGTAAACAAGGTACGAGAAGGCCTGAAAAACTCGATCAAGGGAAGGATCGATCTGATTGACAGCTATGCAAGAGTAAGAAAAACAAAACAAAACTTTGCATCCTTCCAAGCATAAGTTTGCGGGTAACGATCTATTTGGTGTTTGAAAATACTGTTCAGATATCTTCGATGATTGAGATTGAAGTGGAAATGGACTCCGACGTTCTTGCAGCTGAGGCAGTGAGCAATGCTGTGAGTCTTACATGACTTTATTAAGCACAGTTGAGAGCCGAAAACGATGAGATTTTTTTCTTCTCTCGATTTGTTGACTTGAGCAGGAAAATATTGCCCAACAGATAGAGCAGATCATGGAACTGGAAAATCTCGAAGAGGTTCGTCCCCCGTACCCCATTCCCACTGCTGTGGATGTGGATGACATTGTTTTAGACTTTAGTTGTATGATTTTTCACAAAGTCTAATGCTTCATAATTTTGCCCCCTCATCAAACAAATGTGAAGAATAAAACAATAGTGTCTATTTCATTTTTCTATGTTTGTAAATTTGTCAAGTGTGAATGCAGAAATGGAGGTTGCAGGCTGAGGCAAACGACGAGGCTGAAAGACTACTCAGCTCGGAACATGCTTAGGCCTTCCGGTACAAGGGACGGGAAGATTGTTGAGCGTTTTGCAATGCACAGGCAGGTAGCAAAACAACAACTTCTTCTTCTCGAGACTGGTCGTGTAATCAATCAATCAATCACTCACACACTTTTAACAGCATTTGTGTATACAAAAAAGACAAATCCATCTTAGAGTCGGCA